TTCTAGCCCTCATTTTTCATTTCATAATGAATCTATTCAATTCTACAATAGCCTTTTGGCATTTATTAATATTACATAAAATTGAAACCAATTGATGAACTATTCAACAGAGACATTTATTTTTGTTAATCATTAAAATTTACAATATACCTACTTAATTACTAATCAGGCTAATTAATTTTTATATAAACTTATAATAATCCTATATGCAACAATATTATAGTTTTAACATTTTAGATTTTGAGTGGAACGATGAATGTATTGATTTTACAATGATGTGTGTTTTTTTATTATTTTTTTATTATTTTTATTTTTGTATCTGTGTACACGTTTAGTAGTCGAAATAATGCTTCGATTTTCAACTTCGGTAACTTGTTCGATGGGAAAGTGAATCTAGTTGGTACTTTTAGGAGGTCAAAATTTAAAATTCCCAATAGTTTTCACAAGCGACAAGATTAACAAAAGAAAAATTAAGGAAAAACGAGAATTTTTAAGCAAAATCGATTTTTCACAAAATTGAATTTGGTTTTTGGTGTAACTTTAAAACAAACGATCGTAAACACTTGAAATTTTCACTGGTTGTTTAAATTTGCATTTTCTATACACTATAACATTTTAAAAATATTTTGATTTATTTTGAACTGTTTAGGGACATTTTCATTTTCCATTTTTTTTTTTTATAAAGATATCGATAAAATTTTATTTGTTGGCTGAAAAAGCTTGAAAATTTAATAGAAGGCTACTAGTATACTGTTCCAAAGGCAGATGAAAAATATTAAAAATCATTAGTCACAGTTTTTTTTTCTAAGCATTTAAAGTTCTCAAATTGACAAAATATGGAAAAATCACGAAAATTAGCAAATTATTTTGAGTAAAAATTCGTAAAAATGTTTCTTTTTAAATCTAAGGTTTTAAAATGTAATACAAGATTCCTCATAAGTTTGTCTACCTTTATCAAAAAAAAAAAAATTTCTATAAGAAAGTCAAATTAAATTTTTATGAGCGTTTTAAATTCAAATTTTAACAACATTGGATATTCACTCGATTTCTCATGTAGCGATTTCCTTATTTTGTTGTAATTCAAAAACGAATAACTGTAGATACCCGAAAATTTCACTGAATGTTTATATTAGCATTTTCTATACACCATACAATTTTGAAAATATTTGACTCTTTTTGAGCTGTTAACGGACATTGTCAGTTTTCAATTGTTTTAGTTTTTTTTCTATGAATATCAATAAAGTTTTATCTGTTGGGCCAAAACGTGTAAAAATGTAATACAAGGCTCCTGATATATTGTTAAAATATCAGTTGAAAAATATTTAAAATACATAGGCACAATTTTTTTTTATAAGCATTCAAAGATCGAATTTTGACAAAATTTATCAAATTCTCGAAAATTATCAATTATTGTAATTAATAAATTATAAAATGTTCAGTTTTTATAGCTAAGAATTACCAATTTAAAACAAAGGTTCTCATAAATAGTTCATACTGTAACCAAAAAATCTAAAAAATATATGAACACAGTTATTTTTTATAGACATTTTAAATTCAAATTTGGACGAAATTACATATTAAAAAACCTAGAATAACTATTTTAGTTATTTTGTTGTGATTGAATAATATTATTCGTGGGTACTTGAAACTTCTAAAGTGTACTATTATATATCTATGATAGTATCACGGTTTTTGTTGATGTATAACGCGTTATAAGTACCTAATGGATATTGTGATATGATTAATTTCGAATTTATTATAGGTACCTATTGTAGGTCAATTTTTTGTTTAATATCGTAGATATGTATATAATATGTCTTATACCTAGACTGACATACCGTCTCCCCTCAGAATAGTTTTTCTTATACAATGATATTATATCGTTGAATTCAAATTTAATATCATCCATTATACTGTGACCCACTTGTAACCTACTGTACAGCAGAGCGACCACCCACTTGCCCACCTTTTTTTATTTTATTTATGAACGGGCTAGGACCCAACAGTATAATTATACAATATTTTTTAGTAATATATTGAACAATTTGACATAATAATTATAAGTTAGCGAACGACAAACAATACAATGGATCAAATAAACAATTAATGACAAATATATAAAAAAGGTGGGCAAGTGGATGTCTCTCTGCTGTACTGTAGGTTACAAGTGGGTCACTGTATAATGGATGAAATTAAATTTGAATGGAGCCTACTATCACGAAACCTATGTGTTACAGTCGGAAAGTGTGGTTAAAATATATTGTTAGGTACTTTTGCCTTTTTTCAGCAGTACCTAGTAATTCAAGTCCAAATGTAAAAGATAAGGTTATTTGTCGATTTTCGCTTACTGCAGTAAACACTACAGCAGTCTTAAGGAAATATTTACGAAATAGTAAAATTGTTAACGCGATAATACATATTGGTGAGGTACCTAGTTATTATATTTTAAGTGAAAATTTATGTTTTTTAGAATAATAATTATAGGTATCGATTTTAGTTATATATAAACAATATAATATTAGTGTGTTATTATATTGTAATCAATACCAGGTTATACCATTGATATCATTCAATATATTAATTAATAGTGGTCACTAATGCAACAGCGACATCTCGTGAAAATAAATTCAACTATAATTCTAGTCTACTAATATTCCTATGGTATTGCTTATCTGTGTATTATATATATAATCAATGGTATTAGGTTCTTTTTTCATAATAATGTATAGGCATTTAAAGAAAAGCGTAGTTAATAATTTTATAATATACCATATTATAGTGTACAAACTACACAAATAGTAAAGAAAACATTCAAAAGTTAAAACAAAATGATTTATTTGTATTATAAAAAAATTATAATTTCAAAACAATATTATAAAAAAAAAAAAAATTCATAATTGATTTTGATTGAAACTGGAACTTTACAATCTAAACTTAGAATAGTTATCTATATAATTATAAATACAAAGCTTAGTGTTAGGTTTTGGTACAAATACAATAATAATAATCATAATGATAGAAAAACACGTTAAATGTCGTCATTATTCTATTATTTTATAAAATATTATGACGTAAAAAATAATACTAAAATAATAAGTAAAACTACTATTTAATTCAGACGTACGTGTTTAAGTCTTTATTATTTATATTTGGGTGATTAAGGCACGTTCAACATCACATTAACATAACATATTATTTATATATTTTTTAAATTAGTATTTATTTTTTATAGACAAATTTAATGCCGGCATTTCTATAATGCCGTTAATGACACCCTGTAAAATCAGTTCTGTAATACGCCTAACAAAAATTATGATTATTAAAATGACATTCACGAGTAAAATCATTCAAACTTACTTTAATACTTTTAAACTGGCTACATAATATTAAAAAAAAAAGAAAAAAGAAAAAAATTCACAAATAAAAATTATTAAAAATAGTATTTTTTTTCCCCAATACTCACTACAATATTATACTAATAAGTACATGCTTAATATGCAATATATCTTAATATTATAATCGAGTGCCGGTCTGATTGTAAAAATATGTTGTACTATTTTACATGTGAAAACTTTATTGTTTTTGTCATTAATAGATTGAATTGATAAAAAATAAATAAATAAATAGGTTATTAAATAGATAGGTACTACAAACATATATTACTATCATATTATTATGACAGTTTAATATATACAAAACTAAAAAAAAGAAATGCACAACAAACATTCATATGCCTTAAATGAAAACATTTTATATATAAACTGTTAAAGTGTTAAGTTTGTCGATGGAACGCCGAAGTTAAGCTGATGTGATTACAGACTTAACCATTTCGGTTTGGTGCTCAAATAGATCATTTATAGAATATATTTAGGTCTATTTAAAAAAAAAATCAAATGAATACCAATGATACTATTGATACTTCCTCATCGGAAAATTTTTTTTAAAAAAACAACAGTTTATATTTAAAACCATTTACGTTTAAGATTTAGATAGTCTAAGTATGCTACTAACTGTTCATAATATATATAATTAAACATACATGCATGCAAATTACATTATATATTTTAAAACTGTTTCAAAAATCGAGACATTCATAATTAAGTTTTGTGTTAAATTTGAGCAACAATTATGATATAATAATAATAATAATAATAATAATTTGAAATGTTAAGTAAAACACACTTTGTTTATTCTCTGCAGAGGATAGATTCAATAGTAAGAAAGTCGAAGGAGATCTATTTTTGAGTATACATATATATCTATATATTTATACATATTATATTTTATGTTATACGTTTAAATATATAGATATATATCTAATAGAAATATAATAATAATAATAATATTAGGCGCCGTGGTCTAGATTATCTCTCAACACATAAAATATAACTATTACAGCACACAGAACGTACCGGACCGAAAACATATTTTTATAAGAGTCCGGATACGCTCGTACCGATTACAATAATAAAATTATTGTAATGAATAATAATAATAATATAATAATAACAATAAATATTTATCTTAAATAAACCTTAAACAAAAAGGTACGTGTATCTACGTGTAAATATAATAACTAGACAATATCGTCATCATCATGAATAATAATAATATTATAGAATCCAAATCGTTTTTTGTTAAAGATAAAAAACTAGAATAAAAATAATAACAACGGAGTTTCTCGCGGAGCGTCCACGAGAATAGGCGAAGACGAAAAAAAAATGATGTGGATTGATCCGGTAACTATTGATTTCCTTTGGGAATACGATTAAAAAACCTATAATAACATTATATTATATTATGATAATAATATTATCGTGTCGACAGCAAAAATTTTATTAAAAGGTCGACGAGTGACGTAATAATAATAATAATAATATAACATAATATCAATATTGTTTGCACATAATATAATTATTATAATATTATAGTAAGTGTCTGTATGTCTGTCTCGGCGGCGGCGGCGGCATAGGCACCAAAAATATAATAGTCATCGGCGCCTACAGTTTGACCGATAGCCGCGTGGAGGCGGCGGACGTCGAGTCCGACGCGGCGGCAGTGGCCGCGGACTTGGACGTCGAGCCCTTGCCGCCGCTGCTGCTGTTGTTGTTGTTGTGATTGTTGTTGGCCGCGGGCGGAGACGACAGCGTGTCCGAGGCGACGCTGCCCGAGTGACTGTTCCGGCTGTACCAGTCGGCCACTATGCCGCTCTCGGTCGACTGGCTGGAACACTGACTGGTCTGCCGGGCCCCCTCGCTACTCCGACAGCTGGCCCCGCTGCTGCTGCTGCCACTGCTGCTGTTACTGCTGCCCGCGCTGCTGCTGCTCACCGATATGATCGAGTGCGGCCGCTTGGCGATCGACTCCAGGTCCGAGGGCAACGCCACTATGGAGTTCCGGAACCTTGGGGCAGCTGGAAAAAAGAAAACTCCGGTGTTTAGCGTCGGCGGTACATATTATATTATAATGTACCGTCAAGGCGGTTTGGTGAGCAAATGTGACGAGACCGAAACGAGACGTTACGATCAACTCGACGTTATATTATATGATTGTCGAATAGTAGGGTGAAAATAAATCTAAAAATTCAGTAGACTTCGGACCGTGGAATAAAGCAGCAATAATATGGACTGTGGGTTGATTCAATGTATTATAATATACGCATAGGTAAGGTATGCCAAGCTTAATACTTTTATTTGTTACTGCAGCGTTATTGGCGAGCACTGCTGCAGGTTGTCGCATAGTTGTATTTAATTTGATTAAGAAAAAAGAGGGGGCGTGGAGGAGGGTGTCCAAAAAATCGTTTTGATTTTAAACGATTCGTATTCAGAAGAAAGCCCCGTTCGGTATAATAAGCCGATATATTGTATACTAATCATCTATATAGACCGGGTTATAATGGTTATTAGGTACCAAACAGTGGAACTCACTTTTACTGAGCTGCGCGAACGTGATGGATCGATCGTTTATTTGATCCGCACTCGGCCGGATGTCCAAACAGGGTTTGTTGCCAATTCCCATAGAAGACATTTCCGCCAGCCTAACCTCTGCAATGAATAACAATGTGAGTATAATGTTATTATATTATTGACCGATATCGGTGCGGGCGGTACGCGACAGTAATTTGTCATCATTATATTGTACGCACAAAATATAGATACAATATAAAACCGACCGTACCTATATAACAATCGTTTTCAGATAAAAAGCGTTACGAGTGTAACACTCTTATTCCTAGTTCCGGTACGTACCTCTGTTTCGTAGCGCCTGTTTCCACAGTAAATTGGACAACTCGTCGGTCCACGACTGTTTGATGTCCTCTGACATGGACACCAACGTGTACGTGTCGCCCGGCTTGCGTTTCCGGAACCATATTTCGAATTTGGTGTTGCTGTCGCCGACTTTGGCGGTGAACCCGATATCACTTGTTTTTATACTGTTCTTGTACACGTACAAGTCCAGATTCTGTAATAGAAAAAAAACATGAATGAAATAACCGTTCAATTATTATATACGCGGATTCGGGGCCTCCAGTTATAACCAACTGGTAATGACCAGGGCTCGTAAGTTCATGCATCTGCATGTTTTTTTTGCTACACAGGAAAACATGCTAACTGTGATACAAATCCGTTTCATAACAATAGTAATAATAATATGAAGTTTGAAAGTGCATGTTTTTGCATGTTTTGGGTGTAAAGTCATATTTGGCATATAGTTGATTTTTTACAGTCATTAGTGCATATTATTTCATAAAAATACTTTTTAGACAAATATTTGAAAAGTTTCTTCCGATTTTTGATATCTTGTTCCAATCGTCCAATATCGCATGGTAAATTATAACTGTTTTTTAATTTTTTTATTGATTAATTATTTAGCTAATTAATAAAAATATCGAAAATCGGGCTTCTTACGATTGTAAAAAAAGTTATACTCTACAATTTTTATAATAGGTATTTTTACTGTAAACTACTTCAATAAGCCGTATTACTTGAATTACGAAACCATGGTTTTATGCCATATTTTGTCTACTAGTGCGCCCTCTTAAGTTGGAAAACATAAAAAATACACTTATAAAATATATATTACTAAATTATCTCAAAATAAAAAACCTAATATTTAATTCCAAATGTTTTCATTGTTGGTGCTGAATAAGGGTGTACACAAATTAGACAAAAATGACTACCTAATTAAAATTTATAAAGATGTCAAAGCTATTTGAACTTCACAAGTATTAATTTTATTTTTTATTTTATTAATTTTGACTGTTAAATATATAAAAATAAAAAGGAATAAAATACTTTTAAAATGTATGGATTTATTCTTATTATTTTAAAATTTGGTCATGTTTTTTTTACATAATGCATATTTTGAGTTCATAATTTAAAAATGTGAAGGCATATAAATGCATATTTTCGAACTTTTAAGTGCATATTTTAATGCATATTTTGACAATTTTTAGTGCATGAATGCATGCTTATTTATGCATTTTTTAGTGCATGAAGTTACGAGCCATGGTAATGACCCTCACAGTCGACCGGGTAACGCGACGGTAAAGTATGATATACGTATGACCGCGGAATCCGATGAGCTTCAAAAACCGCGCTGGGTTAAAGCCGACCACGAGTTGGCCTTTCTCAGCGATCGCGAGTACTTACCGTTTGGTCGGGGAATCGTCTGGCCTTGCTGAACAGTATGAGCTCCTCGAACAGGAACACCTGTCGCAGGCACTTCTTGCCTTTGCCCTGCCACACGAGGAACTCGTTCTGCCGCAAAAGTCGGCCCTGCTCCTTCAGGTTGACGTCGCACTCCCGGAGCGAGTCCATGGCCAGCAGATCGTTGCCGTGCCGCAACTGGAACCTGACCATGCTCTCGGCCAGCCGGAGGTGTTCCGTGTCACCTTTGGCCATCTTCATGAGCTGCTGCAACAGCAGCGCATACTTGCCCATCCTCTGCACGGGCTTCAACAAGTAACTTGCCAAGTCCATTCGGTCGCGAAGTTCTATTTGTTTTGCCTGAAACACCATATTATATTAGCCAAATGAGTATACGGAGTTAGCAATTTTCGAGATATACATGACTATTAATTGTCAACAGTATTGACGAAAAAACAGTAGAATAACCACACCACACCAACCTTAAAGAATGCAGAACCATACTCGGACATCAGCGAATCCGAATTCGGTTTGTTCTTGTTGTACAGCGCGTACAAGTAAAATTTCTTTTCCTGTACCAAATCCAAAACAACACGATACGATTAATATCAACAATTTATCACATCGATATACGTTCAGCCGAAACAGTACGACCGCGGTATCGTAATATTCACATAATATTATTTTTGTAAGGTGCGTATATCGCGTATGTTATAGGTACTTACGTGTTTTAGAAAAGACTCTCCCACTTGCAACGGGCAGTTCTCGTGTCTCTCCAGCTCCTTGAGGAAGTGTTGGCTGTGAAACTCGTAGATCTTCTCGATGTTGCCGAAAATGACGTTGCGTTGGCCTCGCAAGGCTTGCGGTATGTCTTCGTTGAGCAACATCGGGACGTAGTTCTCTATGACGTACTCCAGTGACTTGACGTAATCCCGTTCGGTCTGTATCATTTCTCTCATGATCAGCTTGACGGTCCTGCGAAAACCACCACAAGCACCGTTACCGATTTGTTTCGTTTCGTTGAAAATATGATATAATATTATTTTTTACGCAAGGCCGGTACTCACTTTTGTAACTTTAGCGTCTGCGTGCCGCAATCCATGTTCAACTGCAAGTTGGACATGTAGTGCAGATGACTGTTAACTGACAAGGGCGGCATACTTTGATTTTTGCTGCAACCGAGATCGGCACAATTAGTGTCGTCGCTCTCTTCATTACTGTATGTACACACGAGGAATAAATTAAGTATTTAAAATAACTATCGAGTTTCAGTTAAAAACTTAAAACTGTTTGGTTGATAAAAGTTGGGCTTAAAAAAAATTGTTTAACGAGATATCCATATTATGACGTTTGTTATCTGTGTAACGATGGTACGACATGTTGCAAGTGAAATTAAATATTGGTACTCAAAGATATTTATTAATTATTTCTCAGAAACAAGTATTACGCGTTGCTACTATTTCATAGCATATGTCACGGATCCACCGATACAACAATATTGTGAATTCCGCTTTATATAGGTATAACACAGTTTCAGATTTAGATTCCTAATCTCAATTATTTTTATTAGACCCAATATATTTGTCAAACTAGGTATCCCAAATAAAATATTCATATTCCAGAAGTCCCTAAGGCTAACATCGTTTAAGATGTATGGTTGTACTATTGATAGGTAGTGATTGGATTTGGATATTATTGAATTTGCACCAACCGATTTTTTTCTTTCACTAAACTTGTACATATTGTTTGTTAAAAATATAACTATATATACCTCTTATTTTCATCACTCCCTTCAGTCGTGTGTGAGCAGCTCAGTTTTTCCTCGTCCTCTTCATCATTGTAAGTCCAATTGGCGGACGGGATATGACTGAGCGCGAGCCGGTCCGTCTCGCAATAAAAGTTCTCTTCCGTAACGCCTACCCAGCCACAATGATGGTTGTCCGCTGTCGTGTTACCATTTGTTGCATGGTGCTCCGGTGCGGACGTCCTTCTGGGTGGCAGGGGAGTGCTGGTCGGGAATGTTTCCGGTCCCAACAGGTGCTTCAGTTGGTCGTTGGTCTCTTCGCATCTTACCATGGCCACCTGTTTTCAAAAATAAAACACCGTATAGCATTTCAAAACAATGTTTGCCAGAGTACGTAAAGAAAACAATGATAATGATGGCGCGATCGGTATTACCTTGCACTGTTTGATTAGTTTATCATTGTTGAGCTTGTTGGCCAACATCATCATCTCCGAGAAGTGTTGAGCAGTAGGAGATGGATGTGCCATTAAGTATCTTCGCAGTTCTTTAACGTTACGTGTGTCGTGCTTTTCGGATATGTACTTCATACATTCCAAAGCCCAATCGTAAGCCTGATAAAATAATACACCAATAATTAATATTTTAACTATACAAATTAATCAAATTTTCGACTATTTTATATTAAGTTTTATAACCTAGCTATATATAGTATATATGTATATTGTAACTTCATTAGATCTCTTATCTATCTCATATTCAATTACAAATAGGTTATATTCATAATTTCAAAACCCATTCAAATATTATAATATAATTATACCTCAATACTTATAATATTTAAGTATATATATATTTACTATAGTATAATTCTAAAATTAAATACATGTAATAATATTATTATAACATATTTACTTTATCGAGTAAATAAAAACAGCGTGATGTATCTTCGAGTCTTTCACGAGTCTCTTCAAGTCGATCACTAAAACCTCTCAGATGCTGCTTCAGAGATTTGGCCAGATCTTTTAGACTGGTACCATTGCTACATTGGCCTGCTTCTTCCAATAAATCTCCAGCTTTGTCGAGATTTTGCTGTAAAAATAAAATAAGAAATGTCATTAAATCTAATTACACCGCTACAATTATATATATAATATATATATTATATATTGATATATTTTTGTTCTTAAAACTAATTAGCTGTATAATATATTATATAATTAGATGCAATAAAAATAGTTAAATAGTTATGCCCAAGCAAATTATTGTTTAATCAATAACGGTGTTATTTCTTGCTATTATCATATATAATAGTATTTTTAAGAATATCATCGTTAATGTGAGACTAATTTGTACATAAAATCCAATAACTAGCTACTTAATTCAAAGCGTTATTGTTTCAGTAAAAAAACGCATAACAATAAAATATAATTATTTGCACACATATCCATTATGATATTAACTCAAGGTTTAATCATGTAAATTTAGTGTTTAAGAAATGACAAAAAATAATTTGTAGGTATTATTAAAAAATGAAATTTGATAGTAAAAGTATAATAATAAATGAAAAAATAATCAAATAAAAATATAAAATGCATCTTCATATTATAATTATATGACGTAAACACATACAATGTTTTAATAACATACACGTCATACATATTGGTTGTAACACTAAATACAATTTTTGAGAGTATATTAATTTAAAAATTGTTTTTATTGTTTGTTGTTAAAACACAAATATGATGAAATTCCTTCAACAAGGCTACACATTTTGCACAAAAATACGTCTTGTGAAAATCCACAAAGCCAGAAAATTCAACAATCACCTTTCGCAATAATAATTATAATACTTGGTTAAATGAACAATAGACTAAATAGAAATCTTATATTATGGTATGATACTATGATAGTCAGTTTATTAAAAACCCAAATTATTAAATTGAAAAAAAAATGACATTGTATATTATGTTATTGTACTTATATAGTCGTCGAGTCTCAAGGGGAACAAAAATAATTTCGACTTAAATATTTTTCAAGTTATAGTTATATATCAAACACAACTCAAAAACGTTTCAGGGGGCAAGAAAAAAAATTCGAGTTATCGAGGATTTCGAGTCATCGATGTTTGAGTAATCGGGACTCGAATGTTTCTGTTTAGGTATACTGTTACTACTACTCAGGTATCAGATAATCACATAAGTCATCACTCATCACCATCATACCTGCAGTATACGAGTGAGATGGCCAGCGGTATACTGTACTGAGGATTTTCACTGAAGACAATCCTGCGGATGTGTACAACTCAAATACCAAGGATAATAGCGGTTTTAGTCAAACTCCACACTTTTTTCGAACTATACCAGAGTACCAGACAACCAAATCACAATTACTTATAGGAAATTAGCTCTACAGCTTATCTATCCGGTGTAATTTGGATAAAGTGGGGGTGCTAACTGCACAGTACACAGTACACTACACACACACATACCTCCCGGAACCTACGTAACATTAGTTTTTGAAATGTATATTAGTAATTAAACGTGTTAAACATTACATACAGCATGTCTTAAAATACATTTTAGTGCGCACGACAATGACGAAAACAAAAATTCTCGTTTTATGTACAGCTGGTACACACAAAGAATCGATTAATCAATTCTATTTTGCAAACTGCGCACATTTAAGTGCGGTGCTCCAAAAACAACGTTACTCAGCAAAACACTGAGCACGGTTTTAGTTGGAAATTATTCGTGTGTATAGTGGCGACCCCTGCGGGCCCGGTTATATATATATATCATGTCGAAAAGTTTTGGATTAAGGTTATATGTAGAAACTTACACATCTCGTAGCTTTAATTTAAACACGCGAGTAGGAAACTGATGAAAAAAAAATCTTTAATTAAGGTATACAATGTGGTAAAAGTATATAGTGTATTTAATATACAGGTAGATGATATACCGCATTTGTATTCAGCACCTACTTAACAGTATATGTGATATTTTCGTATCATTTACGAGTTGCAGTAATGATATAGACATACACGAGAAAAAATCAAACAATATATTCGTACGCAGATTTGGGTCGTGTGAAAATATTTAATACAACACCTTATTGAAATATATTATTTACCCTGTGAATAACGCACGGGCTAATCATGGTTTAACAGCGATGCATTTTACTTAGGACTGCACCAGTAGTTGTGGACCCGTTCGACATTTCGCAAACGCGCATATTTTATAATACCTATTTAATTGCCGTGAGTAATAGACATACCTACCAATTCGTTTTGGAGATTGTGCCGATCTAAATATACCCAAGTATTTGCTGCGGCTTACATGCTATGGGTAATGAGAGTTTATGAATACGTTTAATGACATTCGTATTGTTTTGGAGCCTGTATAACCTAACCTATATATAGGTATATTCATTGATTGGCATAGAAGGCCGGGGAAAAAGTGAAAAGTCGAGTTAACTTAATTCCGTATTTTAAACCAGCAGAAGATACGTTCGTATGAGCTGCAGCCGATTTCATCGTAAGACATGTTTTCTTTTTCGATCTGAAATGAAACCGACGAGAGTAAACGATTGGCACATGCAAATCGCGTCGGCCGAAAATATCTCGTTGGGTGTTTGCGTGGGAGGAAACCTACTACCTATGGGTACTAACCAGCTATTCGATTTGAATACTATTGGACGGAGGTGAGGCTAGGTCAAACCCGGGTAGGTTAAACACTTTATCGAAACGTTAATTTATTTAAGTGGGTTGAGAACCGGAAAAAAATATTGCCATCTCAAAGTATCGAATTGTTCAGAAGAATTGTTCTAAGCAAAACTTAAGGTAAAAAAGACAAAATATGAAAAATGTCAAGTTGTATCTTTTTGCTGTAAATATATATGTATATTTATTTTCAATAATATTGTACTGTGTCAAATAATTATTCTATTGTTGACACAGGGAATAATATCAGAAAGGTATTAATTACTATAAAAAAAAAAAAATGATTATTGTATCATGTGAATGAAACTTATTCAGTTCACTGTATATATTAAATAACAAACTTGTACGTATTGATTTAGAACCTTCGAGTTATCATTATATAATTAAATAATGTGCTAAATGGTTATTTGTGTGTCATTATTAAATGTTAATCTTATGTAAATTTAATTGAATTATAGAGCACTGTAACTTGACAAAACTAGTAGTGGATCGGTACGCATATACATCATATAATAATATATTATTTGTTGTTGAATTTCCTCTGTGCACGGTTTGATGTCACAGCTAGCCTCTAAATAATTTAAATTCATTAATTTGTATAAGATAAAATATTTCGACTCAGTCGATGAGTATTACTTATGGTAGGTAACGGAAAAAATATTCGATTTACGTTTTTAAATCCAATATGGATAATCATCCTGATAACAAATTGAAATCAATATAAATCGTCAGAAAATGAATTCGACCCTTTGGCACAGTTTGCATAATAGCATGGTTTTACATTTTTTTTTTTTATTATTATTTAATTTAGACCCGATGGCGTATGAAACTGTAATAATCTTGTTAGCCATACGAGTTTCGTAATCGGATAGTGAAAGCAGAAAGGCGTGCGAATAAATAATGGATCTTCGGCGATTGTCATTTATGTAGTTGCATTATACCTCGCACATATACGTATCAGCCGGTATAATTACTAATTGCAGGCATGCTTAAATTATAATATTGGTCCGAAGCTAACAAATAGTGATATAATATTAATAACAAAAAAAAAAAATAAAAAAACTGTTAAGAAACTTTTTTCTTTCGGTATGGGATTATATGTCGAATAGAATGTATGGGTTAACGACCGCCTCTTTGTAGATAATATGAATGAAGGAATGAATGTAAGTGTGGTGATCCCGCGTAAAGGGTTCACGTAAATGTATAACATTTTGTAATATATGTATACATGTATAAATAGATATATAATGTATACATATACAGAAAGATATATATATAATATGTGATATGTCGAGACATATTAATACTATTATGTTATGTATGTACATAATATTATATAATAGCGTTGTAGTGGACGTCGTCGTTTCGATGTCTTTTCGATAAAAAGCGATAGATAGCGCGATAACGTAGGTGTGTATGGTATTATGATCATTATTGTCATAAAAATAATAATATATAATATCATAACGATTACAATATTTAAATTGAATGCACGCGACTGGTAAACGAAAGGCACGAGCGGTCGCTTAAATCCGATATACCTATTACGCGCACCGACTGCAGCACAAAATCATTCCGACGACACACGATATTATAATAATAATAATATTATATTATTATACACACGTCGTATCATATCGTATCGTTATAATATTGTACAACACAATATGTGTAACACAATGTAATAATAAAAAGTAAATCGCGGTATAATAATAATATCATACCGGTTTGTACCATTTCCATATCATACGAGCACAATATACATAATAACAATAATATGTAGGTACATAATACCTACACACACGCTAGTCGATTAATAAAACGTACTATACGGACAGTGTTTCAAAACACACACATTCGGACATTATAATATTATAGGTATAAAATGCTGCTGCACTAGCAGCATCGGCTTTAGGCTTTATTAAGGTCAACGGGCGCTCAGACGCACACACGTTATTATTATGTTGCATTATAATATTATATATAGGTATAATAGCTGATATATTCTGGTTACTGGATATATAATAATAATAAAATAGTTCGGCGGAACACGGACGGAGACTGGACCGAACAAATCCTGCAGATTCGGTCACGAGCAGCGCTGTATACACATAATATTATGGGTAGGTGTCAGGTGGGTAAATCATAGACATAATAAAGATGGACTGCGCGTTCCTCCCCCCTCGCCATCAATAAATTCAGCCATAATAACAAGACATGAGAAGGTAAAATAGCATGGATAAAACATTTTTACTGTTTTTATTCCAAGGTATATTTTGGTTTAAATAAGAGTGATAACTGATAAGACTATTGATTCCACGGACTAAGATATACAGGACTGGACACGAGATGAATATTGTGGTTACGAAAT